AAACCCAAAATGCACATGCCGCCATTTTGACAGCTCAAGCTATAAATCGACTATTTACACCACCAAAACAGTTTTGACTTATCAACATTTGACTGCTTGTTCGTGCCTGTAAAACTGGCATCATTTACATGTTTATATGACCGCCATTAAGGGTATTAGGAAAACTTACTGTCCATATAGTTGAAGACTGAACGATCAATACATGGTTGTTTGCTCAAACCCAACTCTATATTTTGGTGGGAGTCATCGATACTGCAGTCATCGTCTCATCGTTCGCTGTTCGTTTGAAGACAGAGAAAAACTATCAGAAGTATCAATGTGATTTATTGTTATGACATTTATTCTTAGACTTTGTGTACAATAACCAAATGGTTGGCTGTGTATTGGTGCAAGAATAAAGGGTTCTTGAGTCAACAGTTTGTGTTCTGGTTGTTTTGCGTTGGTTATTACGCATAGTTCCTGAAAGCCTTCCAAGGACAGTATGAAGTCCAGCGTAGTTAGACCTGGGCATTGACACTTGCTGTTTCCAGAATGCGAACCTCCGGAACTCAGAATACTAGTTTACATATATAATAACCAACGCGATTTCAACTCAAGTGGTACTAAGAGATGGTCGGCAGTTCGAAGACTTGTCGACCAGCCAAGCGTGAGCCAATATAGCAAGGTAATTACGCAGCAGATTGGCTCCGTAATTAACACACACGTCCACAAATGAGTTAATTTGATATGCACCAATACTCCCTATCGTATTCATCTGGTCCTCCATCAACAAGCAGGCGTCTAAGCCACAAAAGGGATCGTTACCTCCAACCAGCAGGAAACTGGTTCGAATAAACACACTCACTGAACATCCACCAAATGTTCAACATCACTGGCATTGGCCGGCAAAAGAGGGATGCATTCCTCTTTATCATCGACGGCCAGTATGCGTTAACACTGGGAGAACCCGACTCACCAAGGACGGGGCTGAAATAGAAGGCGAAGCGGAATAAGCAAACACAGTAAGCATACATTCATCACCCTGGTGCATGTTCCCACCATCCATCGACAACCACAACAACCAAAACTCGGAACAACGCTATTGCATGTCGCTAATAATATATATTTCTTCCTACTTATGCAGATTAACTCTTCAACTCTGAAGCACTCATGACAAAATACATCACGAACGGAAGTCAGCACATCGAATCCTACAGATGCTAGCATGACTTCCATGGTGATACGGCTCGACATCCCCTATGCAACAACTTCTTGAGCGTTGCATTTTAGGTGTCACTCTCACCTCTCGTTCTCCACTCTGCACAGGTCCGAATAATTGCAACGCATACAAGGAAACGTCTGGATTCGAGGTGTTAAAGACCTCAATCCTAGACAAGGACATCTCGACGATACGATACGCCAACAAATCTTGTCCACATGTTTATTGAATGTTTCTCCCTATCCTTATGCCAGCCCACTTTCAGTTCAAGCCCATTTTGGTACAAGCCTCCCCGGCGTATCGAATTTGATTTTATAGCTTCGGTTTTCTTATCGCGGAATCCCGATATAAATTCAGAAAACTAGAAAAGTTCAGAATCAAACATTGTCAGTTCATCAGAATTTTTGAAACACAACACGATACAAAAAAAGTTGGGGCTACCTGTTAGTTCCTGGCAATACAAACATGTGTAGACGATAAACGGGATGTTCACAAAGGGCGAAGCTCGCATTCAGTGAACAAACGTGTAAATCAATGTTAGTGAGCAAAATAACTCCACATAAGGAGTCCTTTTTTTAACACTTCACACCTGCACACTTACAGATAGTGCACCTAATTTTTTGACCCACGCCCTGATGTGCTGCCCTTGAAGAATTGCAGGACTTATAGTAGTACGTCTGCGATCCTTTCCAGGGTGACAATTCTGTGTTGGAACCACTATAGAAGAGTCCTTCCATCGCCTTTTACTCACAATCGCGCCACGCCCCCGACATTGATTTGTGGAAGATATATGAATGTCAAAAATAAAACATATCTGATCAGCCAAGCGATTGTGTGAAGTTATTTACGCCAAGAATATTACATCCAAATAGTAGGTTGAAGTATCATTTCAACTACAAGCGAACGGAACTGGCGAGGATATCAAAGCAAGAATCGGGAAAGCAAGACAAGCTCTCATTACTCTTAAGTCTATGTGGAGGTCAACATCACTCAACATCGAAAATAGGATCCGGATTTTCGACTCCAATATGAAGTCAGTGCCGCTATACGGATCAGAGACGTGCACTGCGCGTCATAAAGAGCAACTCAAACAAACTACAGACCTTCATTAACAGTTGTCTTCGCTCAATACCACTCAAGATCAGATACCCCTCCAGAAAAGATCAGCAACAGGGGGGATCTCTGGCAATGAGCGAACCAACCCAGAGGAAACCGATTGTGAAACAAATGGGCAGGAAGAAATGGAAGTGGGATCGGCCATACTCTGAGGAAACCGTCAAGTGGTATCACTGGACAAGCCATTGCTCGAGCGGAACCAGAAAGGGAAGCGACAAGTTGGTCGTCGAAGGGTGACTTGGAGGAGGTCATGTGAAGAGGAAATGAAAGTGTGTGGGCAGACTAGGAACGGGATGAAAACTTTGGCAGAAAACCGAAGGCGACGTAGATGTGCGACTGAAGCCCTATGTTTCTATAGGAATTAAAGGATATAATAATAGTAGGTCGAAACCTAGGAGCGTCTGATTTCCTTGAAGTTAGTTAAACAATTAAGTTTAATTGCGAGATACTCAAAGTTATCTCATCGCCACCTGAATCAGTATTGACTTTCATCCACTTGAATTGGCTGATGCTTGGACATCCACAGCATAAAACACACGGGTTCATGAACGGCCATTTACTGTGGAAGATTGTTTTACAATAGGGTAATCAAAGATTTTCACTGAGTAAATTGAACCTCAGCAATTCTACCTTTGACAGTCAATTTTTTATCCGTGAGGACCAAAACCCATGGTGTCTTCATCACGCCTTAAAGTGAAGCGGAACACTACATTCAGTTAACCGGGCCCTTTTGGGTTGAGAACTGGATGGTTAAGTAGACAGCACCTTCCTGGTTCGCCTTGGTTTATTAATTTATCTGCGTCAAATTTCGCTATATGTTTATCAGTCACATCATAATACTTAATTGACAGATCTGAATCTGGGACAAATGTCCTTCTCATACTCAGAAGTCTCCCATTGTGGTTGCAAATCAATCCTCCTTCCACGTATTTCTACGGTAGACTTATGGTGAAATGTTAATTCTTGGACATACAACAGCTTTCGATCAGCAGATCTCAGAAACCCCATTACATTGATATAAATCATGAATTCCACGCCGAAATAGACCAGTATGCCTCTTCTTCTGTTTTTGACGAAAAGTTGTGGAGGGAATTAACTGTGACGGAATCTGCCACGAATCTTTGCAAGACAGCAAAAACGAAATAAATTATAATCACATTTCAGTGTTTTACACAGAATGATATATTTTTTGTTTTTGACAAACAAGTGGCTGCATTCCTATTTTTCTGATAGGAAGCAGTACACCGTCTACAATGGAAAGTCCTCCACTACCCCACTGACTGTAGCTGGTGTTCCTCAAGGTGCCGTTCTTTCTCCTTTTCTGTTTTCTTTTTTCTTACATGACTTACCTCATTCTGATGTAGCCACTTTTGTCAAGTTTGCTTGCTGATGACCTCTCTGTTTCTATGCCTGTCAACTCTCAGTCAGATTGTTCCGAATTAAATAACTTTCTGTCGGAAATTAGTCAGTAGTCCTCTTCAAACGGTCTTAATCTAAATCCGTCTAAATGTCAGGTAGTCAATTTCACTTTCAGACGTAAACGTGACCTACAACAACTAGTTAGCTCACGTGGTCCCACTACAATTGACGGCATAGAGGTTAAAAATACACCTAATGTCAAGCACCTTGGGCTGAGTTTTTCCACCAATCTTTCCTGGTCTCCCCGCATCTTGCTAGTTACTAGAAAGATGTTTCGCTTAATGTTCTACATTAGGAAATTTAGACAGTCTGGCATAAAGCAGTCTTTGCCTTCTCAGTTTGTAAATTCTTGTATTCTACCCATCCTCCTTTACTGCTCCCCATTAATCTTTCCTGGACTACTTAAGAAAGACTTTGCTTTGCTGAGAAGGGCACTAAAAGCCGTTAGTAGGGCAAGTGGGATATCGTTAAACCAACTGGCTAACACTATTGCGGATAGACATATAATGTCATGTAAGAAACTAGCGAATACAATATTGTCAGACCCCGAGCATCCCCTCTATACGCAGCTGTCTCTTTGCGTTTCATCAAGAACTAGAAGCAGCTATAGGAGGCTATATGGTAGGACTACCAAGTACAAAATCTCCACAATACCATATCTGGCACAGCTGTTATGTGATGAGAAATCCGTTAGGTATGACACGATCAACTTACTGTGGCACTCTGACAAATAGTCTCATTAGTTTTTGTTTTCCTTTCCTTGTTACTATTACACTGTTGTTCTCATCTTCTATCACGCATCAACTTTATGTTTCATATACTGTGGTGCATTGTTTAAAATGTAAACGCAACGCTGTTGTTTTTATTTTTTTACTTATCTTTTTTGTGTTGCTTTTTGATTTTAAAATCTTATAGAATTTATAAGGTAATTAGATGCACTATATTGTAATGCACGCTGAAAATTCCATACCCGTGCCACAAATACTGTTTGAAATAAAGCTGTTGTTATTATTATTAAAAAATATTTCAAGCAAAACTACTGTTCGTGACCACACCATGTGTGAGACTCTTTTTTAAAGCAAAAAATGAGCACTGAAAAATGTAAGGTGCATAAAACTGCTTCAAAAAGATATGATATATTATTAGATTATCAGACACATTTCAGTAATAATGTTTTATCCAAATCAGTTGATGGCGTTAACGTCATATACTGTTAAACAATAGTTTTCAGTTTTACTGGTGATTCTCGTAACTTTTACGTAAGAAAATGAATATAGGTAAAATCTTCTTTCTAGTTCAGGAAAAAGACGAAAGAATAACACTGTTGTATAAATAAGAGGATTTGATTTAATCCATCAATGGTCAAGGACGTGGTAAATTAACACATTTGAGTTGTTACTGTTAAAACGTGTAAGGAAGGTTTATTTGCTTCATTTTTTCTGAAACTTCCACTGTCATTTAAAATTAAAGTATATGAGGGGAGTTTAGGATGTTGCGGTGCATGACTTGTCACAAAAAATAGATACATGAGTTAAAAACAAATAACACAATCGTGCGATATCGCTAAACTAATTCTGAATTATGCTTCAGTAATGCGTCTTATCCTAAAGGAGTGTTTTTCGCTCTTTAAAAGAAACTAGTGAGTGCTGAAGTGGTGAGGTTGATGCTCAAAAATAATTTTAAAGCACTAATGAATCAAATTAATACATTTGTGTTGAAACAGTACCAATCATTGCTAAATTGGTGCTGAGAACGCTGAATTTATTTTGAGAACAATGTCGGCTATCCCTAAACTATTGAGAAAAGTCGGCATAGGTTGTTGTGTAAACTTGAGGGTTTGTGTGAAATACCCAGTTTTCACAATCACTCCAGAGTTTATTTACCATACACGTGTTATCAGGAGGGACTAACAGGGTAACTCCTTCAGTAGGAGCGTGATTTCATGGAAGGTGAAAGGCTTAATTCAAAATATCACCTTCATAACAGCATGAGATTTTAATTATTTTCTAATTCTGATCACTTGTCCACGGTGGATGGGAACGTCGACCTGGGGGTTCTCTAGGACTTAGCCTAATCAACCTTGACCAATTTGAACTGCTTCGACTCACTTTTTTATCCCGCTGTATGTTGGTGATGACGCAGTTGCATCGGTAGCTGACACTGAGCTGGTGACCTGCTGATTTCCGTTTGCCAATCATGTAGGTGTGGTTTGTTGATATATTCTGTGGTCTTTGCTACTGCACTGAATGGTTTACTAAAATAGCATTTTCAGAATTACGAGCACTTATGGAGGTGACGAAATGATAGTTATTCATTCCGTGCCTTTTGTAGACTTGAAAGAGTTTCGTTTTCTCTTGGGAGTAGCTCGCAGAAGTACATAGGTTGTCTGAAATCTGAAGTTACGCCAAACGACTTCAGGGTAATTACAATCTCAGTAAATACATATTAACTTCAGTTTTAAGTTAAAGCAGTCATGTAATGCATTCCACTTCTGTTTATTGGAGTTCGTGCTATGGGAACTATTCTTGTACGTCCAGCCAATAGTTGTCTGATACTGCAGCTAGGATACTGTCAAAATGATTGCTAACTGCAGCTTAATACTCATCTTCTAAATTTAGTGTTAATGAGGAAAGTGGGAAGTAAAGAGTTCATGTGGCTTGAATGGGTGTACTTTGGTTGTTGATGAGTGTGTAACAGAGCCCCTTTTCCCAGGTCTAGTTGAGCACCGTAAGATAAGATAATAGCTTTATTCCAAATCAGTACTTGTGATACAGAATGGAATTCTCAGCATTTTTACTGCACCAAATTATATTACTGAATTCCTCTGCTTTTGTGTTGATCATATGGAACACATGATTGTTGTTGTTAATTACCCATCTCCGTAAATGAACTCAGTACGAATATATAAAACCTATATTTTTGTGTTTTTCGTATCATGTTTCTGTTTTTGTTGTTATAATTGAAATACTTCCGAACTCTAAGTTTTGTATGTTTCATAATGCGTGATTGCAACTGAGTTGTTCAGTGTGTTTTCTTTTTTGAAGCTGAGATTGGTCCTCGAGGTCTAGTAGACTCTTCATCGTATCCAATGTCGGTTGATATACAAAAGGTTAGTTTCTTCCTAACTAGTCATTTCCAAATTCCAAGTCCGTATCCCTCTTACGCAAAGGATTCGATGAAGGTATTTTACGGACAGTGGAGTCGCGTAAATCTGCTCTTCGGAACATCGTGAGGTTATTTTCGGAAAATGAAGAAAGCTTAGTTAAAGCACTTGAGGAAGACTTACATAGAGTAAATAATTTCAATGCATATTAATGAATAGTGTCGAGCGGAAGCGTTGTGTACTGATATTGATAATTCAGTTAGTGAGGCGAAAATAATGCTCGCCAATATCGATTCGTGGTTGAGGGAAGAGATAGTAAGTGACGAATTTGATTGAATCTATTGCTGTCTTAGGTACCGTCAACATTCATCTCAAGTATGGATACGGTGACTATTCAAAGACAACCCTTTGGTGTGGTATTAATTATCAGTCCTTGGAACTTTCCAATTGTCCTAACCTTTCAACCTATGATTGGTGCAATAGCTGCAGGAAATTGCGTTTTGATAAAACCGTCAGAAATCACACCAGCTTGTTCACAGCTGATTGCTAAGCTTGTTCCAAAGTACTTGGATGAGGTAAGTGATTCGTACAGGCATACTGTCTTAATGTCGAATATCAAGACTGAAGAAGTGACATTCTAACGGCTTTATGTGCAGGCGATAGGTGACTGTGCTTAAAATTTATGCTTTATTAGCACAACAAAATCTTTGTTAAAATGAGAACATCCGTATGTTATTTTTACTTAAACATAAGCTTCATACACTGTAGACTCCAAGAGATGCGCCGCAAAAAATAACAATATGTTGAAAACGGGTGGAGTAATTAAGGAACCGGATCATAAAAACAGACAAGTACACCAATGAGGAGCATTTTAGAGGCGCTCATTACATTATGCTAAGTTCAGAAGAGGAAAGGAGGAAACTGTATAACGTTCACCATTGATTTCGATTCCCAGTTTTATCTGAAAATATCTCTAGCCATTAATTTGGATTATCTAACGTGTATTTAACATAGAAAATTATTCTTGTTCACTCAGTAACTTGGATTTATTCTCTATTTCTTTCTTGTGAAACTAATAACAGCTATTTTCATTAACTGAATATTAGTGATGAAGGGTTTTTGTTGCATGTTCTCTTGTAAATTGGGGAGAGGAAACTTGATATAACATTGGTGTGCTAGACCATTAGTGGATGCGTGTTACATCACTACTGTATGTGTTTTCGCACTTTGTCTTGCAGGTGTTTGCGCGTAGTGGAGTCATAGGAGGTATGGGAGTCAAGTGTGTACTCCGTGTTTTACACTTTAAGTCAATGAGTCTTGGGATCGTACTCCAGTCCACCTACTTCAGTTTGAGCAGCTGGATAGTTTTATAAGGCCTTGCAAAATAAGTATAGCTCGTAGTCTGGTATATGAGAAATGCATTCTGGGTAACTGGGTTTGAACTGATTAGCTGTACTGTGCTTTAACCTATGATTTTTCATTGTCAGCTATAAGGTTCAATAAGCATGGAAGGGACTATAAAATTCAGTTGATCTGATCGATGTCAAACACATGTCTGTTGTGATTTGTTTTTGTAAGAAAGTCATTTCTTTTCTGTTCTATGCACTTCTGGCTTTGACACCTGTGAAGTATGAAACATCCATGTACTTCCAATTGAACTGATTCATGTGGTCATCGTCTATCATTACTTTTGTTCTCACTTTCTCTTTCATTAACTTATGATTTGCCCTATGCAGTTCCAAAATCTTACCATGCTACCAAAGTAGTGGGTCACCATTTTCAGCATTTAGTAAGTGTGCTGTCGATTTTACTCTGGAAGTTTCAGTACCACAGTCTCAACCGTTTAGACTGATGTATCAGGGTACGTATATTGTATTTTACACCTCCAAACATGCTTATTCATCAACTTTCAGATGGCTATTGCGGTCAGTATACGCGTGACATACCAGTGCTTCATTACTCTACCGAATGGAAGTGGTAATCTCAGTCTTTTCGACTGTTGAGAGACATGGTGATTTAGGCCGGTAAACACGACCTTGAGTCTTGACAAACGTCTAGTTTCTTTCATCACCTGTAATAAAACTATTGCTGTAGCAGCTTTAACATCTAGCGTAAAGTGCAGGGTAAGTAATGAAAGTCAATGACTAGAGAGCATGTTTTAGGCACGATATGTAGCCATCTGTTCCAATGGACAATTATGGTAGCATTAAATTTAGGCATGAGGAAAGTCTAGGTCGGTCAACGAAGGAATGACACCAGTCCATTAAGTCTGTGTCACTTAAAGACATGTAAGGGAAAATTTAAGAAGTGACGATTTAAAATGACTTGTGACATGTTCAGAAATGGATAATAGTGGTGAAAATTCAAACAGTTTTTGTTTCACGCATTTAAAAAATTCCTTTACGTTCCCAATGGAACATAGGGTTTCAAGATAAAACTTTGAAGGTTCGGTAGAATTGGTATTTATTTTAATTGGATGGGGTTGCTAGCCTCATGTCTGACCTTCCCCCTTTACCAGTCGTATTGCTGGCACAGTGAAGTAAAGGAATGCGTCGGCTCTGGGTCGAACCTCTAACCACCTGTGTGGTTGGCGAGCATTCTACCGCTGTACCACTGACGCACATTGTATGCATGCATTAGATCACTTCTGTTAACCTCCATTTATTTATCATATTGTTCATTTTTAAATCCTTACTATTATTTACTTCGTCTTTATGTTGTGTTTCGAGATTTGATAAATTTGACTGGTGTGCTTCTAATTGGCAGTGGAATCCAGGATGCGCATTTGCCTTATTTGGGACTCGTCATCAGGATGTACCTGTATTCCGCAGTGAGTGATGATGTTCCCACCGAGGCTCGAACCCAGTGCCCATAGTTTCAAACGCCAAAGCGTTATTCAATAGACCACTTGGGCCACAGGAGCCACCTATTGTGCAACGGGTCATATTAATTATTTAACTGAATTTTAGATTTTTCCCGTCGATTGATTGAACTGAAGTACTTAGTCTCAGGCTGACATGTCGGCTTCTTGTGCAGATGCTTCGACGATGTCTGGGCATGTAACTAGAGGTTAATTGGTGGATGGTGACTAGCAGTATACTCCTAGTCTCATTTATTCTAACGAAGGTGAATTTCATTTGTCATTCAAAACTTTTGAAATTCATGCTAATCCTTTGGCAATAAGTTTTACAGGTTCGTAACCAGTCAGAAGTGTAAACAGACTCAATCCTCTTCCACTAATATCTTGCATTTCATCGGTATAGAGTCATTACCACATTTGCTAACGACTATTGCCAATTAATTAAGTGTAATTTAAGTCATATCGTACAGTGAAAAAGGTTTTATTCATCTTTTCGAGTACTTTTCGTACTAATACCATCATCTATGTCGAAGTTGAAGTTAAAACAAATCTTGTGTAAGCCAAATTCTAGTCTAAAAAGAGTGGATAGACGGTTGTTAGTCTTTGATCAGCTTGAGATATCTTCCTACTAGGCTTTAAGATCCCAATTTACTTTTGGAGAGAGTTTCTGTCCAACAGAAACATTCACTATTACTATAACCTTTTATTATCTTTTATATCTGATTTTCCAAAATCTAAAAGCTTGAAATGATGCATTTCTGTGCCAACTTTTATTTTAACTGTCAAAATTTCGAAAGGGATATTTTACTAGTGCATGATTTAATTTAGGTAGTAATGAGGAATTTGTTTTATTTTCACAAAATCTTGTTACCGGTTGATATTTTCACAAAAAGAAGAATATATTTCTAGAAGTTTAAGAGTTAGTAGCCAGGTGGCTATCGATAAATCTTTGAAGTCATTTGTTGCTCAAAAATTATAGGTCATCTCTGTAATTGACCATTACGCATACTGTGTTCAGTGAAATTATGGACTCAAACACTTTTCTTCTATTAGCAAACATGTATGGTGTAACTTATATTTTCAGATATCACATAGTGGACTGTGTCACAACACACTTTCCTGAAACTCTGACAATATAATTTAAAGGTTCAGCCAATTTCCAACTTTTTATCATTAGTCGGTAACGTATTTAGGTTAGCTTCATAGAAAAGCCTTTGATAAATATCACTGCTCATTATTCAACAACTTTGTTGGTGTAGGTTATAAGTAGACTGTTTTTGAAGCCTTCCTGATCAGAAAACATGGATATAAATGTTAGTATTATTCAGCTGATGCCTTAACTACCTTTTCCATTGCTGATTGGCCCTTGCTAACCTGGAGTTGCGTCTGGGTGAAGTCTAGATTCCTGCTAGGTAATACCGACTACTGTTTTGATAACTGAATGTTGCAGCTCAATGTGGACTTGCTATTTGATAGGCACCTACAAAATATGTGATTTTCGTTTACCTTTTCCATATTTAATCATACACAAATTAGTAATTAACTTCAATAATTTTAATATTCTGACAAAACACTAAAAAATTCATCAAGGGAACTAGTTGCTCTAATTTTTAATATTTTATTTTTCCCATTAAAGCGTATATGTCAAGTTATATGCGGAGATGCTAGTGTTTGTAAATCGATTCTAGATACTCAGCATTTTGACTTCATATTTTACACTGGTAGTACAGCTGTTGGACGTGAAGTTTATATGGCTGCGGCAAAACAGCTTACTCCTGTAGTTTTGGAACTCGGAGGAAAGTGGTAAGCCATTCTTTAGTTATTTATTCATTTCATTATCGTTAGAGCTTTTAACCATTCGGTACTAATGTAAATTCATCTTTATAGCTTTTGACTTTTCGTTGTATATAATTTTCTCTAATTTTTAATGAGATTTGTTCTTGATCTTACGCACACATATATTTTAGTCAATCTTTTTCACGATTCTCCTCTAAACTAAGCGCATTACATGAGCATGTTTTGTTCGTTGGACTATTTTTCATTCAGGGCTAGATATGATTGGATGATGGACGTATTTTGGTAAAAATAAACACCTATAGACCATATCTTGTCGTCTGTTTTTATGGTTTGTCGGTATTAGATGGTTGGAGGCAATCGGCAGGAAGCCTTGGACATAGGTTTCGTGCTAGTTGGCATTCATCAGCAAGGCGTATCTGCAACCTTGAAGGAACTTATGTCCCTTCTGCACCGTGATGGCGAGCTACCTAGAACGGTGGCCACATTGCAAAACCTGACTGATAGAATTCAGTCTACACCAAAGAAAGGACTAGACACGTCACACTAGTTACTAGTGTCCAATCAAAATATGGTTTGTTGTTAGATAGATAATGAATGCAAAAGAAGATGTTTTTCCCTCAGGAATTTGTAAGACTGACAAAACTCTTCTGTAAGGTCAAGAAGAACAGCTAGTATTGGCCACCAGTAAATGCGTGTTTTGTAGGATTTGACTGGTAGCCAATATTTTGTCTAGACACACACACTATTTTAGGCCCGAGAAAAGCCTAGTTTTATTAGATTTTATTTTTAATCACTGTTCAGCATCGTATAATTAGGGATTCGACGTTTCTGGAAGTCATATTTGTAGGGCTGTGGTTATCACAGTGAGAATCTTTCTGTTTTTTGGAAGAGAGTTAGCGATTAAGACCTAAAGGAGGTAATAACTCATATACTTCTATACCTCGTGAAAAATCCCAACTCACCATCTTTAAATGTCTTAGGAGACAGAGCGTCAGAACTCACTATCTTGATTGTCGTCTTAACCTTTACGAACATTCTACGTCTTATAGCTGTTGCCTATTCAGTTTACGTTTGAATAACATTTCATCATCAATTAGGTGATTATCTTAGCCTTAAGTAAGTGGAATCTTATTGTATATATTTTATACTGTTGAAAACATATTTGTATATTATCTGCGTACATTTGAGAGTAAAACTTGTTCTTATGGTCAATGCATCTGCCCTAACCGTTCCTAATTAATGTAATTCTTCTTTTTCTTATATTGCCTATTACATGCATTTGTTTAAAAAGAAATTTATTTGTCTCCTTTTCAGTCCGGTTTATATTGATTCTAATGTCAATTTGGATATGGCTGTTAGACGCATTCTCTCCAGTAAACTTTTAAACTGTGGACAGATATGTATTGCTCCAGATTATGTTATATGCCATGAAGACATGCTAGTTAGTTGATTTAATTTTGTCCAGTTATCATTTTTTATAATTCCGAAAATTAAAACAAACTGTAGAAGACAAGTGTACATATAAAGAATTTCAGTTTTGAAGGATTAGTTCGCAGGTAATGTACTTGTTTTAGGTTGGACTACGGATTGACATCAGTTAGAGAACCACTGTAAACCAGGTAGTACTGGACAGCCGTTTCATCCTAGTTTTGGACTCATTGGCAGTACACACTCACTGGGTTTTGAACCCAGGACCTTCTGATAGAAATAAGAATTCATGGGCCATTGTACCAGATCCCGGTGGCTGAATGGTAGTATATCAGCCTACCTTGTATTGTACGGGTAAAACCCGTACATTAGCTGTACAAAAGCGGTTCGGCTGTCTTAATGTCGTCTACGTAGAAGGTGATTTCACTTACTACCAGTAACAACAGATTTCATTTTTATCATAGACTCCATCTGTGAAGGTATGATGCCCATATACGTGTTGCACTAACTGCATGCTTTAGTGGGCTACCTGTGGATTAAAAACAATTATCTTTTGTCGCTCCGAAAAAATTTACAGTGTTCAATATGAGATGTTATAAACATGAAAAAAAAATGATATTCTAGAAGAGTTTTGCCACATGATGGTTAATTTTAAAGATGGTTAAGAGTTAAGACATACATCATTACCATCGGTTCAAAACATTTAGTTTCTCAATCGATTGATTCTTAAAAGTATTCTAACTTATTGTCTTTATCTTAACACTACACTGTCGATATTAGCCTTCAGAAGTAAATTAAAATAGTAGCTTTCTTATACTATACATAATCAGCGTATGAATTACTTTATTTTTCTGTGCGCTTGTATACAATAGATCTCATTCATAAAATCTTGGCTTTCTCTGTGATAGAAGTTAATTTCACTTCAAAATTTTGTGAAAGAATATTGTGCGGCTTTAACTGATTGTTGCTTTCACTCACTAATGCTTCTACTTTCCATAGATAAGAGTAACTGTAATTAAGCTTAAACGGCTGATTAACATGTCTGGTTGTCAGTAAATAATAATAATAATAATAATAGTAAATGAGGCAACATTCCCCTGGTGATATGTTCTATAAAATAGTGAGTGTCATCGACGTTAGGTGTAGTGTTGGGTAAGGAGGGCGAGCTAATCGATGAGGTTATAAAGCTGCATTAATTGACATGACTAGAGCACGTGTTACATATGCTGAGTCATTGCCTTCCTCACAAGCAATGTAAGCTGAGACAAAGGTGGCTTCGAAAAGAGTTAGGGTAGGCAAATCGAAATCTGGCATCAGGCATTATGAAGTCTGACTGTCGGTCTGAGCTACACAGGGAGGTTTAGACTGCCCATCTGGTTGTGACACCCTTGAGACGTTAAAAATTAATGACTGAGGACTTCTGGGGATATGTCTCAAAACGATTGTCAATAGTACAAATGCATTCAGTCTTTATAAAATCCTTAATCCATCAAATTTTTATTATTTTTTCCATGTAGTTTTCTTATCTCTTGTACATTTCCGTTTATTGCAGTTTCTTTGAATTTATTTTCTACAAATTGAACTCTTGCACTTTTGTGAACAGTTCTATGTTGAGAAGTAGTCAGCTAGTCAGTCACCTGGTAGTCAGCATATTCATCTTTGGCTGATAGAAATAAACTGGATTCATTTCATCAAGCAGTTACTTTCTGTTTTAAAGATGTCGAAACTACTTCTCAGTTCATATTTCTGTTACTTAGGCTAAGATTCAATTGGTAGATAGTCTTAATTTTCAAAGTAATAAGTCAATAATTCGCTTTTCAATTTAGCCAAAATTCGAGGAAAAAATTAAAATAATTTTGGAAGAGTTTTTTGGTAATGATCCTCAAAAGAGTCCTGATTTGGCGCGTATTATTAATGAGAGACATTTTAAGTAAGTGCCTCCGTTTAGCTGTTTTCCTTTGTTAACTTTATCTTCAGATCAGGTTTCCACCTGTATTACTTTGAGCCCTTCCACTCCACCCGCCAATGTCAGTATTGCTTTCTACTGTGAGACAATTTTATAAGCCGTAAAATCTACAAAAATATTAAGGGTACTTTGTACAATACAGTGTTCTTCAATAGACAACTTTTGTTATTCATAGAAGTACAGAAAGTGCACCAACCGTCTGTCTAAGTTATTTTGTATTTCCTGTTGATCGGTCTACATTAGACAGAAATATCTTGTCGACTCCTAGTACGGACGATTGGACGATGTCCGGAGATTAACATGACATGATTTAGTTGGTGATGGATAGCAATGGGATCCAGAATGCACATTTCGTCCTATTTGGGAGTCGTCATCTGGGTGAATCTGCATGCTAACTGAGTGATGTGACATCCACTGCGCTTCATTCGAACCAAGCACTCATCGAATCAAACACTAAAGCGTTTTCTACTAGATCACTACTGGCTTATTAGTGAAAATGTGGCTCACTGGCATAAGCAGTAGGTTGTCAGCCTGAGTCACGGATTCGCGTGTCACCGCAGCCACTTTGAACTGGGCAACTAACTGGATAATATCATTGTCCCTCACATTATAAGTTTGGCTGTCAGCCTGGCACATGAAATATCTGTTCTGGGGAGTTAAGTCCAAACAAAAGCAATGGGCCTATCTTAAGTGGAGACGTAGTTAACACCCTGGATTCCACTGCTAGCCAACATCATCCAAGTAACAAATGCCACTATCATATACACATTCTAGTTGTTTAGCTAATGGGATTTAATCACACAAATCAGTTAACGTGTTGCAAAACAGATATAGCCGTGAGATCCCAAGTACTAGTCAAATTCAGTGTAATGACAGAATACTTCGGCGCATTGTGTTTGCTGTTCAGTCGTAGAAATCGGTTGACAGGACGTTTTGTTGGTTATAGCTAGGTGGTTATTCGGTATAGATTTGCTTTATATGCTACGCTATCAGCCAAAATGCTACTTGTAAGCAAGGGTTTGATACCAAATTTCAATTCCCTTTTATAAGTGAATTCAAATAGCTTCAGCCAAAGAACTTTTACTCTGTAACTTAATATTTTGGTAGTTAATAATGTCTGGGTAATTCTGCTAAAACAAAAACAAGCAAAACTTTTCAAAATATTTTGTTTTGATTTTCTAAACATGATGGAAGTATCCAAATTAATTGTATAAATATCAAACTAGATGTAAAAATATGTGATAGCTTTTCGAAAATAATACCAACATTCAATAATAAATAAATGATACACATTTGTAATTACCATTATGTAATTTTCATTTATAACTCCAAGTTAATTGTAACCCACTAAATCTCTATTTCAATCTCATTTCTCATTATCAATCATGGATTAATCAACAATTTATTGATTTTTTTTGGTTCATGATACGTGTTCACTGTACACGTCTTTTCAGAACACACTAGCTTGTACTGCTAGAGATCATCGTACATAGTAACACATTCTTAATCCCTTTTCATGGTATTCAATTATGTCTAGAAGTTACATTTGTCATATAAAAATATCTCACTGTATGTATATGCAAAAATATTTCAGCCTTCATTTTATTTTATATTTTTTTAAATGTTAGTCATAATATACGTGAAACAGGCGTATAAAAGTCAATTCATTAGCAGAACAAGAAAACAACAACAACAACAACCTAAGTGCGCAAACGCAAACAGTGTCATAATAGCCTTTTTTTATTGATTATTGCATTAGCTTTCTGTACCAAAGGTGAAAAACACGATGTTATTCTGCATTCTTTACAATAGTTGATATTCATTTATTCAATATTCAAATATTAATAAGATTTCAGAATTGATTTTTTATTTTATTATTATTACTATATTTTTTTTAGACGTCTTTCAAATTTACTGAATCAAACCAAGGGGAAAATTGTAATCGGTGGCAAACTAGACGAGGTTGACAAGTATATCTCTCCAACAGTTGTATTCAACGTTGAAAGTGATGATGTATTGATGCAAGATGAGGTTAGAGTTGCTCCATTTTATTTCTGTTTTGATCCATGCTGTCCAGATTCTCTTGAAAATGAAGATGAGTTTTATACAAGTAACTTTTACTGGTGCTTTATCCCGACAGCCATTTATCTATTCTGAGCTTATTATTATGATTATTACTCCTTTGCGTTTCGAGTAGAACATCGGGCTTCAACAGTTCATCTACCCTTTGCTCTGTTCTTTGCTATCCTTTTCAGCTGGTCGTGCCCACGATTGTCCATAATCTTTCATCTCACCCATGTCACCCTCGATGTGACGACGCACTCATCGTTTCCCATTCTGGTTCCACTCGAGTGATGCACTGCACTGTGCTCCATGTCATTCGACGGCCTCCTCACTGCCATGCACCCCAATCCATCTCCACTTTCTCCTACAAATCAGGTAAACGATCGGCTGTTGGTTGGTTTGTCGCCTGTCAGAGTATCTTGTTGCTAATTGTTTCTGGCCGGCCATTTGATTTTCAGTATAGAGCCAGCGAAGGTAGACAGCTGTTGATAAAAGTCTACATCTGGCTGTTGGAAACGCTTTTCGTAATGACCGGTACAAGTTTCTGACCCATATAGAAGAAATGGCTGAATTTACATTTGTTTTGAAAATCCGAATCTTGTTGTTTTTGCTGAGTTGTTAGTGAAGAAGATTTCCAAACTGGTTTCAGATTAATGAAGGTGTATCGTGCCTTTCCGATTCTGACTGACTTTCACGTCTTCTATCCGTCCTTCCTGTAGTTGACTGGATGCTTCCTAATTAAGTGAAGGAACTTATGACTGTTAAATCTCTCCCGTTGGTGGTGATTGGTGCTGGTTGTTGTTGTTGTTTCTGCTTCCGTCGGTTGGTTGGTTTGTTGGTTATCTTCATCACCTATGTCTTCTTTGTATTTACCTGGAGTCGTCCTATCTTCGCTGCGAGCCAGCCTCTTCAGCCAGTTTGTTGCTTTTCACCTGTGAGCTGTTGAGTTTGTGTGACATTAGACATAAATCATCTGCGAAATCCAGATGTTCTGTAGTCTTCTTATCAGTGGTCCAGCGTATTCCTTCCTGTCTTCTCACTCCCATCCCACAGTCTTCCGCATAATCCAGTCCATCACAATTAGGAATATCACTGGTGAACTAGTCCTTTAAAAATGTTTCCGATATGATAGAGAAGATTTGTAGCTCAGGTGGATGATTTTGATGTGGTGTTGTGTTCTCTGAGCTGGATAGTTAATTTACGAAGCTTCCATCGCCCTACTAGGCAACATCTTCAGCGCACACTTTGATTTTACGATAACATAGAATAACTTCTTAAATCCGAAAATGCAACACAATTACCAGGCATTTGAAAGCTACGTAATGTAAGAATAGAATTTGGGCACTATGGTAGAGGATAATTCCATGATAGAATAATTTTACTTAGTAAAATCAGTGATATAGTATTATTTTTTTTTACTGATGACATTTCTATCTCAACTTATTGCGTATAATCATATCAAAGCTGCCATATATCCTTGAAACTTTGTTTGTATTATACCAATGGTATTTTTTCCACTGATTTTATTGCCTGTAATATTTTCCATATCTTTGGTATTGGCGTTGTATCATGCCTACTGCAGATGTTAGCCGTGAATTCCATGAAAAAAGATTTGGCTGCCAATCTATCTTTCCACCTACTAACATTCCTTTTTAAAACTGAAGGTCTCTTCCATTCTGTTGTGTGATTGTGGGCTAGTGCACGCATTGCGATTGCTGAGTTTCCCTCTAAACTATACTGTAGCTAAGTTAAAGGACGAATTAAGAGCGAGTAGACGAAATGCTTGCCATTTTCAGTCCAAAAGTTCATACTGAACATGAAGTTTATTTTGATTCAAGTACACATAGAATGCTATTACAAAGACTACCACGTAAGAAACATATTACTGTTATATATCTCCAAACCAAGTTCGTTTTTAACAGTTTGAAAAAGTTTGGGCATTGTGTATATGATATTCATTATTATAAAGGTTTTTGTAACAAAACGATATTGTTTTTACTGACGTTTCGCTGTTTAATGCTAAAAGTGGTCCCAAAGGGCTTCCCATTGCGACACCATCAACTTGACGGAACAGACACCCGTTGAATTGGAATTGGACATTTTTAGTACATAAAAGTAGTAATTTCCTCAATTCCGATGTTGGAATGGGTATATCTTTAGCTTCTTTACAAATGAAGTCGATAGTCTCAACGACTGGCACATTTGTGAAAAGGGAGGTAACATCGAAAGAGACCAAATGCTTATCGGATACATTGAAATCTTTAATTTGATTGACAAATTGAAATGAATCAGAGACTATATGTGTTCCGAAACGTTTCAGCAATGGTTGCAACAGTTCACGTAACCACTGTGCTAATCTGTGGTATGGTGAGTTTATCATAGAGAGTATGGGTCTTAACGGCGCTCCTGGTTTGCGTATTTTTACGCGTCCGTATAGTTTTGGGATTTGTGACCCAATCGGTTTGATATTTCTATATGTGTTTTCGTCGATGTATTTATTTTTGAAGAGTTGTCGTAGATGCTGCACAATTTTCCTTTCGGTTGATAACGTTTGGTCTTTTGCATGGTTATCCAATTTGAATTTAGATTCATCAGAGAGAATTTGATGCATTTTTTCGAGATAACCTATCTTGTTCATTAGCACTACACTTTGCCCTTTATCAGCTTGTAGGATAACAAGCTTTTTGATAAAATTCAATTCATGCCATCCAAATCTCAACTTCACAATAGAACACGAGGAAAACGATACTATTAAATTTCTAGCCAAAATGAATGATGGCACAATCGAAAGATCCATATTTAGAAAGTCTTCATGGACAGTACAGTACATGCATTTCAAGAGCTTTGTTCCAATCCAGTACAAAAAGAACTTAGTCAGAACACTGTTCAATAGAGCACGAAAAATTTGTTCTGACAGTACTATTGAACATGAAATAAAATCTCTGAAGGATATTTTATGTAAGAATGGATATCCTGAAAAGTTCATTAATAAATGCTCTAAAGAAACTACCCCTTGCAAAACAATTCAAACAGTTCCAAAGAAACCTGTCTATATCAGTTTGCCATTCAAAGGAGATCACGTACAGGAAGTAGTGAAACGAAGACTCGACAAAGTCATCAAGAGAACTTATCATGCTGCAAAACTTGTTATCCCTAACACCACCAAGCGAGTGCTTCAACAATCTGGGAAAGACCAGTCGCCAATCCTCGACACTTCAAACTGCATATATCAATTTGAGTGTGTTTGTGGCAGCAAATACATAGGTCGTACGGAAAGGTGATTATCTACTCGCATGATGGAGCATTTGCCAAAATGGTTGAAAACAGCTGAGTGCAAAGTCCCAAAATCCTCAATAACAAAACATCTTGTGGATTACGGACACGATATCGACGCAGTCAAGTCATTTACCATTGTCAGCAAACAAAGAAACAAGAAGATGCTTGCAATTGCAGAGGCTTGTGCAATTCGAATTTACAAACCAGCTCTCCGTATACAAAAGGAGATGGTCCTCACTCTGAATCTGCCATGGTAATACGTTTCACTTATTATTCTCTACTTGTTATTACTACTATTCTACCTCTTCTTCTTCTTATTACTGTTATTATTATTATCATTATTTTTGTTCTTAATTTATTTAAAACTATGCTTTACCTGTAAGATTATCTTAACTCATTTCAACACTATTAAAATTGTTATTATAACTATTACTATTGATATTAGTCTGTTTACAATTCTCGTTATATTCCCTAATGACTAATTGTTTATCTAAGTGATGTAATTGAAGCGTAATGCAATTTATCTTAATTTTGATCTCCCATACTCTCTCTCTCGCCTTATCTATTTGAACATGACCTGTGAAACATTCGCACGTGTCTTTCTTTATGACTAATTCAACGTAGTTTATTTATCAATCTTATATCTCCCAATGTAATTTCAAAAGTATATATATCCGTGTATGTAGAGTATTCAGCTGACGAGTTCTACCGAAATTTGATGAATTCATTAAATCCTGCTTTATTAACCTGTATTACTTGTTTTTAGAAACAATATCGTTTTGTTTTTCATTCATTGGGAAATACAAAAAACCTTTATTATAAGAAACTTATTACTGACTTACTGAAGACTAGCGCGTATGCCAATTTAACACTGCCTTGAAAATGTCACACTTGATAGGTTCCATAATGTTGAGTTCTGTAATTTCATTTGATTCTTTCGGGTTCCTAGTGGAACAGAGAGCTTCAAGCATACGCTTTGAAGTTTCGGTAGGGGTGGGTTTGTTAGGCTCATGGGCAACCTTCCCTCTTTAACGGATTTACTACCGTCTAGTCGAGGTTTAGTAGTCCGTATGCCTGGGATCGAATCACGGACCACGTGAGTGGTTAACAGGTATTCTACCATCGACCCACTGAGGCACCTGTTTCTATATCATTGTCTTCTGCAGATATAAGATTTAACTAATTGTTGTTCACTGATGGTATGATTTTTAATCTCATATATATTTCCGTACTTCCTGCTGTCTCTATTAGATTTTCGGACCTATACTGCCTGTTTTGAGTGTAAAGTCACCTTCTGAAGCAATTCAAATCATTAAATCCAGGTAATTACATAATAATTATTTCTATTAGCCTTCTTATTATTGATAAGTTATTTTTGTAAAAGTTGAAACACAAATACGTTATAAACGGAATTTGTTTCACCTCGATTCTTTTCTTTTTGATTCGCGTCTGTGGCACAGCGGTTAGGACTCTCGCCGACCATGCACATGGTCCGGGGTTCGATCCCCTGCCAACGCACACCTGATATCTATGGTCGGCCTGTAAAATTTTGGCTACCGATATCACATGCTGAAAAGTCCATACTTGTAGCAAAAATACGGTGTGGAATCAAGCTATAATAAAAATAATATTAAAAAAAATTAAGCCACTGGGATTTGGTCCAATGGCCCATCAAAGACATTGCTAAATGGTCGCGCTATGTGATAAATTGGCAATAGTTAGAATTCATTAGCCATTGAATAGGGTCTTAGTGGCTTAATGCTCTATGCGGTCGCATTGTAACCAGAAGGTCCTGGGTTCGAACCCTAGTTGGTGCGTACTGATGAAGAGTCCAAAACTAGGACGAAACGGCTGTCCAGTATTCGCAGGTTTTCCAATGGTTCTTTAACCGATATCAGCTCACGATGAAATCCTCCAACCGATCAAACCAATACTTGGTAATAAATACTGCTTCGGGTTTTATGAGAGAGAGAGAGAGAGAGAATATGTTTAGCATCAGAACTCAGTAATATTTGATAGCAGACATGTTAATTTGGCAGATGATGTACAGTGTGATGGCAGAGTTCAGAAATCGTACAAAGAAATCTACATTTACACAAGTCCTTTGTATTTCACTTCTTTTGTCTTCCTGTCATACTGTTTATACTGTTTCAGAAGGATCTTTCATTATTCCTTCCTTCATTATTCCCAATAAATCCGTTGCTCCATTACTGCAGATTCTTGTAGAAGACATTATACACAATATATATAAATGAAGCAAAAAGTTGTGTGAGTGACTTGATATGATTATGAGCAGTAATAAGTTGTGCTGGAAACGTTATTAGTAAATATTGCTATACAACACTGTGTGATTTATCAGAATAAAATCTTATCCATATTAGAGTTTTACTCTACCACAGTGTCCAAGTCTTATACGTATATCAATATGCTTCTTACCGGTAAAACACACCGTATAGATCATGGAGGCGTAAATCGAGGAAATATATAGTCAAATAAATTGTCATAAGATGGTGTACTTTTTAAAGCACAATCTGATTAGACACCTAGTTAGAAAAGTGATAGACATATTTAAAAGTTTCGATTGACTAGCATTGATTGATATTCATATGAGTACGCTGTAGTTGAGGCAAATGCTTTGAAGCAAAACTGAATAGATTCAGATAAGAATGACAATCATCCTAAGAATAAGGTGTAATTAAGCTGTGACTATTATCAAGGCAAAGCAGACTTATTAAGGCTATTTTATTTTTGTTTACTAAGGTCTCAAGTTGTGCTCTTTTACTAGGAACCAAAAGTAAACTGAACCATCTGTGTTACCTGTACATTCATTATTTTGGAAGTGTGACTGTCTCTGAGTGTATGTTTCTACTTCATACCTTCTCATTACAACAAACTTTTTAATATCTGCTCATAAACCTTAGTCATTAAAGGTTGTAATGATCCTGAATTTGTTGTAGTAATTTCCTTAATTTTGCTTGACATTCTATTTGCTATTACATTTTTGTACTTATTATTATTTCTTGAACTGTAATTACATTGATCTTAACAAATCAATAGTATTTAAAAACACCAATATTCTTATATCATTATTATTATTATTATTCCCTTGGGTCCACCATAATTAAGAATGCCATCCGTGATAATTGACAGCCTTTTCTTACTTCTGTATTTACTTGAAAGGTTTAGCCGAGTTTTCTGTTGTGCATCACTAGTCACTTGACATTGTCATATAACTTTTGGATGAGGTTGTGAAAGATTTGGGGTACTTCACTCCATAATGTTGAAGTAGTTTACAAATTACTTCTCGGTTAACGCTGGCTATCGAAGGTCTTTCGGAAGTCGATGAAGTTGATATAGGGAGAGGTTTGACTACCATTCTATGCTTTGTTCTGTGAATACGATGCGTAAAGGGGTAATTTGATAGGCACATGATTTGCCCCTCCTGAATTCAGCCAGCTTGTTCTAGTTGGGTTGGCGGAGTTCTGCATTCAGTGCGTCTTTCATTCTCTCCAAGGTGACGCGAAAGCTAGAACAAAATAATAATAATAATGATTATAGTAGTAGTCGTATAGGCAATGGAATAGGAAATAAATTTCCAATTATTGTCAAAATTCATTAGTTTTTTGAGTGCTATATGAACTTTTATTTTTAATTTGCTCCACATTATCTCTTGTTGTTTACTTTGAGGTTACAGTTACTCTCTTTGTCATTGTGATAGATAGAGCTGCTAATTGTTTTTTTATTTTATTTATATATAGAGAAAAGGCATTAGCTGTTTACGTTTTCACTCAGAATAAGTCATTGTTCAATGATTTTAAACATGCCACCTCCAGTGGTGCGATTATGATGAATGACTGTCTTATGCATATAGTCAGTAAGTTTCTCAAAAAGAATTTTCATTGTAATAAACTATAAATGTAGGAAATAATTCACTACGTTTTACAGCAGCGCATCTTTCGAAGTTGCTATATTTCTCAGTGACACATGTACAGCTGATAAGAATGATTACAGAATTGATACTACAATGGGCAAACATGTATGAGATGCAAGGGATCCGGAGAAGTATTCCTATTTTCAAATCACGATGTAAATTATGAATACATCTGAGACATTGTAAAGGATTTTGAACCATTTCATCAAAAGCTTCAATCACTCTCCTTTCCATCGTACTCGCTAGGCTATTCAAAATAACCCTCATTTAGTCTAGACCAATAGTCAAAGGACTAATAGTAGTAATCGCTTGTTTTGGTGTGACCAATCATAATTCTTTTTCAATTTAGTCTTGTTTTTGCTTGATATACGTTTTTGAGGGAGATTGCTGGTTAATACAAGCTCTGAAAACCATACCTGGTCCCGTTTCATAGGAATAATGGAACAAATCTATGGTCTTCTACTAAAAATTAATCTACGGACTGATTATATTTGAAGCATAATCCTATTCTATGTTTTGTAAAATATGATCTTTCAATTAATATCTAAATTTGTGCGTAATAAAGGTATTTCAGTGCATTGGGCCATGGGAAGATGATTGCTATCACAGATGTTCATTTACCTGGCATTCCGATGGCTACTCTATTGAGTTAATGATTCCTGATGAATTCCTGATATCGTAGTGTAATAGTTTGGAGTATGCGGACGATATTGTTCTCGTAGCCGAAGACACTAACAAAATGCAGAGTCTTCTGAACACCTTGAAATTATATCTTCTTCGATTCGCTCCTGTCAAATATAGAGGACTCGTCTGTATCAAATTCTAGTTTAAAGTTACAGAGTCAGCTGGTTGGGCGTGTAGACCACTTCACTTATTTGGAAAGTTGCATTAGCTGTAAATAACTTCCTGCTAACGAACTCTTAGCAAGGACGCATAAGGCTCATATGACTTCTGCTAAGTTGAGTCATCTCTGGATTAGACGTGATATCCAGCTATTGATCAAAGTATGTGTGTACGGCGGGATAGTTTGGTCTGTCCCTTTTTATGGCTCTCAGATGTGGCTGTTAAAAGGCTGGCTATATTTGACCACGTATCTTTACGTTCTATCTCCTGTGTTATGTAGTACAATATAGTAAGCCAAATTGAGGTTATACATAGAGTGGCAGGTAGGGAAAGGATGTCAGTTGACGAGGTTGTCGAGCTTCATCGATTGAGATGGCTACGACATGTGCTGTGCATGCCGACCAGCAATGTTAGCTGACTTAGTATTAGGTTAGAAAAGAATTAGAATTAGCAAAGCCAAAACCTGGCATCAGTCCATGAAGTCTTTGCCTGTTGATTTCAGCTGGCCACTTAGGAATATGTAGACTGCCTGGTTGGGATCCGTTGGATACTAGAAACCAATGGCCTTGAGAATATTAGTGACATGGCTCAAAATCGTTCTCAGTGCCAAAGATGCATTCACTCTTTGTGATCTCTTATATCCATTAAACCACTGTGTTTTTCAGTGTTACTATTGTTCCCTCCCCTCTTCACCCCGGCACATTTATGCACATTATAATTCTTTCAGATGTCTACCCTTATGTGATACATGGAGTGTAGCAACTCGAACTTTTGTGCAAAGTTCTGTATTGAGACTCAGTCAATAAAAGCTTAATTGTCATTGCCAATCATTCATCATTTTAATTGGTATGTATTATTAATTTTTTTTATTGCAGTACCGAATATTCCTTTCGGTGGTGTGGGTCATTCAGGAATGGGAAGTTATCATGGTCGTTATTCGATTGAAGCATTCTCGCATCGTCGTCCGGTTATCCTTAAGTCAGAAATCGAGTTCATTAATAGAAAGTAAGTTATCTATTTAATATTGGATTTCCTTTTGATTGGGGTTATGCTCGGTCTCTGTTGCCATGTTCGCTCCTAGTACGGACGCTTCGATGACGCTTAAAGGTTGACGTGAAGTTGTTTTGATTGATGGTGACTGGTAGCAGCATCCCAGATGCTTATCCCTTCCTATTTGAGACTAGTCAACTGGATATACTTGCATTTCTATGAAGGTGATGGTGTTCCTACTGAGGACTGAACGCCTAACCTGTTCTCTCAAACGCGAAAGAATTATCTATCAGACCACAAGTTATATTACTGCTAGAAATAATTTTTAATGGTCATAAGGATTAGTACAACTACTTGCATTTTTTGAATAGCTGTTATTTTTCTGATGTATTTTACTGTAAAGCATCTGATATCAGCACTATTTGGTGTTATATTTCATTCCGGTTTGACACGATCGACTATGTCTGGTTTCCCTCATTAACTCGCCTGACTGATTTTCTTATACAGTTCTGACAAATACTGTTCTTTTCGAAGATAGTCAAACTACAAATCGTCGACTTCACCTGATGTATGTAAGATGTAAGTGAACCACAGTGTAGTATGCAGATGTCTGTTATAGTTGGATCTGCAAAAGTTGTCTTCAGAATAAAACAAGACATAGCTGTGGGATCTGATGATATGACTCCAAAAGAGTTTAAGTATGCTGGTGATGACCAAATTATTGACCAGATTAAACAAGGTGTCTGCTAGTGTATGCAATTCTGAGATCACCGATACCAGTTTATTAAAAAATGCAGACACTTTTCATGTTCTAATCATAAAGGATCAGTTTGATCAACATAATATCTGAGATTCTCTGTCTCATGGTTCTGTAAAGACTATCTCTCGTGTTGTGCTGTAATATAGTGAATAATATTGAGGTTAGGCGTAGAGTATTGGGTGAGAGAGAAGGTTGCATCCATAGGTTTGTGAAGCTGCATCGGTTAACATGGCTAGGACACATGTTACATATATATATATATATACCGGCTTATTGCCTTTCTCACGAGCTGTGTAAGCTGACATGGAGTAGGCATGGAAAAGATATGGAATTGGTAAAATCAAAACCCGGGATCAGTGAGCAAAATTGTGCAGATTAATTTAATGATAATACGATGAATCTGGATGTAATACACAGCTATCATTGAGTTCAATCTGCGTGCATGTAATTAAGAGTCCCCAAACATATTTTTGCATCCTAAGAATTCCACCCAGACAGTCTACCACTCTGAATTAGCTCAAACACCAAAGATGCCATAGATTACTGCCATCCGTAATTTTTTCTAACCTGGTCCTATATCAGCTAGGAAAGCTCACCTTAGTAGGCGGTGGTTTTGAAAACAGAATACCCGTCTTGGCCATGGCAACGGATGAAGCTTTACAACCTTCCTTCTTACCCAACACTCTACACCTAACCTCACTATTATTCAATACATTACAGCACATAACACGAAAGATAGTCTATGAGACCGAGAATCTCAATATATGTTAATCAAACTGATCCTATATGGCTATAAGATGAAAATGTCCGCTTTTCAATAGACTAGTAATCAATGAATATAATATGAGCGACTTACACTGTGATTATAACTGCTTTTTGTCTAATCACTGCACAAAAACTTTTCTGTCGTACAAAAGGACCTAAAGAACATTCATCCCAGACAATATGGGTCGTCGGATCATTGCGGTATGCCAGTCCAACCGCCACTCCAACGTAACAGATATCGGCAGGGTGATATTATCACTGACATCTAGTTAAAGACCATCCTGGTTTTCCTTGAATTTTCTGGCCATCGTCACTTCGTAATTAAACCAATTGTGAAATTAGTAGAACGCTCAAAAATTTGGCAATTTTAATTTCAACTCATCACATTTGTGGCACAGTTCCGATGAGGAGTCATAACCGATAAAGTCACATGGTCGAGTGTAAGAACAGATACTGACAGCATTGGATATGGACTCCATTGTGTAGCGAGTTGTCACAAGTATGAAACGATGAGCCGCTAAACTGTGATTGAGCGACTGATTGGTGATGCGTTCGCCTCATAACTTGATGAGTTATGCCTCGAAAGATTACCGGATCATTAGGTGTTTTCTGATGCAAAGCCCCAAAGCAGAGTGAAATGGCTGTCCTGTGAATCTTGGTTTTCAATAATCTCGCAGTTGATTTCGGTTCGTATCCAAGAAAATCCAAATCTAATTGCTTCCCCACAAACTTGACATCTGCACTACTTACCTGTTTGCAACTGGTGGTCGAGTTTATTACGCAAGCTTCCAATGTGGAACTAGTAGTCTGGATGTGTAACTGCATCCCGTAGGGTGATGTACCTCCGATTTCAACTCAAAATCAACACCTAGTTATCAAAACTCAAAGCTCTCATTTCTTCCTCATATGATCTCCATGTTACTCTAAGACACCAAAACTCCTCGCTTCCCATTTGGATCCCAATCAAAGGTTTGGTGTGTGATGTCAATTGAATGTCTCAACAGCGTATATTCAGTTCATACTCATTCCCTCCTACATATTTGTTGCTTTGGGAATATGTTGTTGGCTAGTTTACCGCCTGCCAGAATTCCTTGTTAGTTATCACATTCGAACGCCTATCTGGTCTGTATGAAGCCGTGAGCAAGTGTTAATGAAAGTACGTATCAGGCTACTGGAAATGCGCCTGCCAAGTCTCTAAACTGTATAGAAGCACTAACTTGACATTAGTGTTGCGAACTCGGATCTTTGTTTCTGTGTTGTGTTCTGTAAATCTCCTCACTGTTGCAGGGTAATGAACCCCTGATGCACACATGGTAAATAGAGACTACTACTTCCTTCACATATCTCCCATAGGTGGTGTTTAATTTCAGCCAGGCATCTTCTTCACCTCTTTCTATTTGCTGACGTTTCTCCCAACTTGTCAGTTTAAGCTTGTGAAACTCCATGTTTCTGAAATCCCGTTCATTTTTTTGTTGGCCGCCTCTCTCTCCATATTCTGCTTCATGATTCAGTCCATGACAGTCCGAAATATCATCGGTGATAGTGCGCAGCCTTATCCTACCCTTATCTCCACTTCAAATGCTTCTCTGAGCTTTACGTTGTTAAATGATTGACATTCATCAGGACTTCCGAGGTTATTGGTCGTATTTCTAAAAGAAATGATGGTGTTGGCTATGTCAATACTTCTTTGAAGTGATCAGCCCAGAATTTCCTTTGTTTCTCTTCGATATCTTTTATTCATTCATTTCATCTCTTCTGATCTCCCTTCGGATAGCGACCTGGTTATGTGGCATAATTTTCTGTGGCCTGTTTTTACTTTCAGACTGCTTCAGTTGCTGGGGTATCGTAAGACTGTCATGTTTTTCCTAGCACACATCACTACTTTATTCAATGAGGTATAGATTAAACGTCATCCATCCTTTCGGTTTTTGTCTTTGCTCTGGTTTATCTTCTGTTTTATCATCCTCTCTCCTCTGTTGGCTTCCGCGTGTCCATAGAGAGAAATTACCTCTCTTGCCTCTTCTCTCCAAGGTTTCAATACATCTCTTCTTCACAGACTTCCAACGTTCTTCCAGTCAGGATCCTCAGTGATGCTGCTTGATGCCTCCGTCTATCTACTTATGACTGTACTGAAGATGTCTTTTGTGGTTTCGTCCTTCAGTTTATGGGTGTTGAACTTAAATTGTGGTCTATCACCAGCTTCCTAGTAGACTTTCAACTTGATCTATAAGGTATTCAATTGTAATTTTCCTTCCTGTGTGTTCAGTTTTGCTATCACTGATGCTGAAGGAGATTGGTTCCAACTGCATGAGAAAGCTATGGATGGTGTTGATAAAACACCATGTTAGTTACATGTTTAGTGTACTTGTGGATGACGTTTGGATTACTGGTAGAAGGATTATTGTCTTTACAGTTAACAATCTGGAAGGTCCACGCCATTGGCTTTCAAACGTTTCCGAACACTTCTGTACCACATCTTCTCACTTCTCTTGCAGTATGAACAGTCTTGGTAGCCGGCTTCAAACATGCTATGGATATACCATATCCCTATGCTTACTATTTTGATTTCATCGAAACAAGACACATCGGCCGATTGTATTCCTGAAGACTTCCCCAAACTGGTGTCATCCATCCTCACGCTTAAGAGTATCTCGGATTACAGAAGAAGAAAACTTTTTTCCTCTGTGATTTGAAGCTGAAGTAGCTACGCCTAGATTCTCACTCTTTTTCTGGGATTAGTTGATTTTAGATGACTGAGTGAGTTTTGAAGTAGAACTTTGCACAGGAGTGCAGCAGTTCAAGTTGCCACACGCTCCATGTATCATAAAAAAGTGGAGGAGGAAGAAATTGAATAAAAATTGCAATGAGCACAAGATTGCAGAAGAAAGAATAATAACATTGAAAAACAGTGGTTTAATAAATGTGGAAGATTACAAACAATGAATGCATCTTTGCAACTGACACAACGTTATCCGGACTTAGTTAGTTGCTGGCTAGTGAAGTATGTGAAGTGGAAATGTTGGTGGTTTTCACGTGAACCCCAGTCGTCTTATCCACCTTCTACATTCCGAAACACCAACCATCATTGAAAGGATTGAAAAAAAAGTCACTTTTATGGATACTCTAGGAAATCTGTCTTAAAGTTGTTGACCTGTGCTCAGATGGTTGATACTGAAGGGTTTGATGTTTGCGAATTCGTTTAACTTCAACATTTCTTCGCAAATATCAGTGAAAATATTTGAAGCTCCTACCCTTTCGACTGATAAAGATAGCTGCTGACAGAAACAAGTTTCTTTCCGTGACCTGCAAATCAATTGTCTCATTTAAACTATTTGTTCCTAATGATCAGTATTCGAGTATTCGACAATAAGATTGAGACACCTAAATTGTCTATTCTATTTGTAGGAATCAGTTGCTTCCTGAGTGATACTTTTCATATCTCAGGTTGTCAGCTACACTTTTATTTATTGCGTGAAGACTGATTATACTATGCTATCCAGTTGCTACTTCTATAAATAAGTTTATTTCCTCTTCTCTCAGGATCCGTTATTACCCGTACACTGAAAGCGGTTTAAATTGGTTACGTTGGTCTCTGAAGAAGTCAGAAAGTAATGGATGCCAAATATTGTAATTCAGTAAAGCGATGACGCATAATTATAACAATCCTGAGCAATTTTAATCTATTTTCCTTATCATTGATTTGATTATCATATACTTTAATATCACCTAGTCTGAGTTAAAAATATACATACATTTTTTAAACTTTTTGATTGTGAACAAGTGAATTTCAGTGATCATTATACATCTTTTGAATATTTCTAATATATTGCATATTTTGTGTTAGTATGTGGAATTTGCAGTGCCTTGTAATTTTGTGACAAAGACGTTTTGTATTATCGTTAAGCTTCATTAGGCTTTCATATAATTGCTCTGGTGGACTGATAACTCTAGACCGTTCATCAATTTTGCCAACGATTCTTGCAGTTCACTAGCGCACATAATATTTGTGAATGCCGGAATTTAATAATAATAATAATCTCTTTATTTCAAACAATAAAAATCATTCAAAATGGAATTTTCAGCGTTTTTATGCACATTGCAACAATTTAGCTCTTTTTACAAATGAATGTAAATACATAAAATTTAAAATAGTAATAATAATAATAAAAATGAATACACTATAAAAAGAATTGTGGCGGAAACATAATGAAGTATAATTAGTTAGTATCATAAATAAAACATGTAAAAATAATCTTTGCCTGTAAGTTTATAAGTTCTTTTCTGATACTTGACTCTTTACACAAAACCCGTGCTAAATATGGTATGTTAGAATTTTTATATTTAGCAGCTGTACGAGCGTGAATTCTCATGAAGTGTTTTTTGTTTTAGTGGTTTAACCCGAAGATATACAAGGTAAAAATGGCACTATCAGATAAGATAACTTTAACCAACTGCTTGCAAGAATTGAAGTGACTATTGACAATAATGTCAAAAGCACATACACTCCTAACCCTACTTACAGCCTTCAGTGTTCTACTTAATATGATATAGTCTTTTTTTAGAAGTACGCACTACGGATCATCGTTGAACAAAGCTTGGAATGGCAGTCACCTCTCTATCTCAACTTCATCGACTTTGAAAAAGCCTTCGACAGCGTCGATCGAGAGGTCATTTGGAAACTACTTCGCTAATATGGGGTCCCATCGACAATTACACATCTCATCCAACAGTTATACGACAATGCTGCATGCCAAGTAATCCACAACAGAAAACTTACGGAAACCTTCGAAGTGAGGACGGGAGTGATGCTAGGCTACCCACTATCGCCAATGATCTTCCTGACTGCAGTAGATTGGATAATGAGACAGACAACGGGCAATGAAGAAACAGGCATAAAATGGACTCACACAGAAAACTTGGAGGATCTGGACTTCGCTGATGATATATGTCTGATTTCCCACAAACTGGAAGATAAGCAAGTGAAAAGCAACAAGTCGGCAGAAGAAGCATCAAACACAGGACTTCAAGTGAACATAGATAAAACAGAGGTGATGAACATTCCTGGCCAACAGCAACAACAGACAACAATCAGCCAGCGTAAATGGGAGGAACCTGAAAGAAACAACCTCTTTTATCTACCTGGGAAGCATCGCTTCAACTACAGGCGAACAGAACTGACGAGGATATCAAAGCAAGGATCGGGAAAGCAAGACGAGCTTTCATTACTCTCAAGTCTGTGTGGAGGTAAACACCACTCAGCATTAAAAATAAGATCCGGATTTTCAACTCCAATGTGAAGTCAGTGCTATTATACGGATCAGAGACGTGCACTGCGCGCCATAAAGAGCACCTCAAACAAACTTCAGACCTTCATTAACAGCTGTCTTCGCTCAATACTCAAGATCAGATGGCCGGCCAGAAGAGATCAGCAACAGGGACCTCTGACAATGAGCGAACCAACCAGGAACCGATCGTGCAACAAATAGGCAGGAAGAAATGGAGATAGGTGGATTGGAGGCCATACTCTGAGGAACCCTTCAAGTGACATCAGTAGACAAGCCATTTCTCGAGTGGAACCCGAAAGGGAAGCGGCGAGTTGGTCGCCAGTGCAAGGGTGACTTAGAGGAGGTCATGTGAAGAGGGGATGAGAGTGTGTGGGCAGATTTGGAGCGGGGTGAAAACATTGGCAGAGGACCGAACGCAATAGAGACGTGCAGCTGAAGCCCTATGTTCCTCTCGGAATTAAAGGAAATAATATTAATACAGGGGAGAATAAGGTCGAGCAGTAAATGGGGAATGGGTAAAATACATGAATTGTAAGAGAAGAGGTTGACTTATGCCAGCAGGAAGTCTCAACTTCTTTATATAGTAAGTGGAATGAAAATTTGTCATAGATACCAACAGGATATGAGACGACTGATAGATAGATATTCCAAGAGAAACTGATGCCGAGATAAGAGATATTCGATTGACTCTCTATCACTGCCGTCAATAATACAGGAATCATGCGACTAAATCAGTTCACACAAGTCTTGTTCTCATTTGAAACTAAAATCAACAATATAATATTTAAGTGGATTCAGTTTGCAGATTAAGCGAGAATTTATTGGCCTGTATCGCTGCACTATGGAAATGTTGTCCTGATAGTCAAAGTTTAAAATGTTTCTTGTCGTAGTAGGCATACATCGCCACCACAGATCACCATACATCTTTTTAGCTGTCACAATGGAGTTCTCAATGGATAAACGAGCTAAGTTGTAGGTTGGTCATCACATACGCATGAGGTCCGGAAATAATAATAATAATAGTTTGATTTATTCCAAAACAGTACTTGTGATACAGAATGGAATTCTCAGCATTTTACTACAGTATTGCATCCATTTAGTACAGTATCAATAAATAAAATTCTACATAGATTAAGGAAATCTCAGTTCATTATGACAACAACACATTGGCGTGTCGGTAGCAAAGCCAAAATTGAAACAGAGTGTTTGAAGGTGTCAGAAATGTAGATGCTAGCATATTTACTGGCGTAAGCGGAAGAAAGAAACAAAGCAGCACATAACAGAAAAAAGAAATGAGAGAGAGAAAAGGAAAGAAAGAAAACATTGTACCTATAAATGATATGAGTTGGAAAGACGAGATCCAGTTGTTCTACTGACTATTTAATAAGTTGTAGGTATCACGCGCCTAATGCTTTCTTTATCGCACAGAACACTAGCTAAGTAGGGTATGGTTGAGTTTTTGTACTTACTAGTGAGAGCACATAGTTTTCTATATAGGCTTCTGGTCTGTCTGCCTGATGAGATACAAGGGGAGAGTTGTGAATGAAGAGGGTGGTGTGAGTTACGTAAATAGAATGGATTTAGCCCATTTTTCACATGAGTCCAATTGCCTGTCAACCAGAATATTAACGAGCTGGTTAAGTGGCACGCTGCTTACCCTGCTAAAAACCTTTAAGATCCTGCGTAATAAGGTATAGTCTTTCTTCAGTAGCCCAGGAAAAATCTAAGGGGGAACAATAGAGATTAATAGGCAGAATGCGAGAGTTAACGAATCGTAGCAGTAAGGGTTGGGCTATACCGGAATGTCTTAACTTTTATGTAGAAGGTAAGACAGAATATTTTCTTAGAAATCATTAAGATATGAGACGACCAGGAAAAATCAGCAGATAGATTGACGCCTAGGTACTTAATTTCCGACTTGGTTTCTATTTCAGTGCCATCTATGTTGCACACCTCGTGAGTGCTAACCAGTTTGTCTAGGTCAGATTTATGCCTTAAGGTGAAATTGACTGTTTGGCATTTGGAGGGGTTTAAGGTGAGACCGTTTTCCTTAGACCACTGGCTGATTTCTGATAAAAAGCCACTTAGTTTAGAGCAGTCACTTTGACATTTGACAGACGTTCAGGTCGTCAGCATATTTGACAAAATTAATGTCATTTGAAGATGGTAGGTCATGTAGAAAGAAAGAAAAGAGAAGTGGGGAGAGTACAGCACCTTGGAGGACACCAGCTTCAGTGCGCACAGCAGAGGAGGATTCGCCTTTGTATATGGTATACTGCATTCTGTTTGAAAAGTAGGAGTGCAACCAGTTAGTGACCCAGGACTCAGTTTCCCGACCGATAACTGCTACCTTGACGTGGTGGTCGGGCTTGCATATCTCGGTGACCCAACAAGCTGCACTGGCTGGAACAAATGTTCCTGCATGTCCTATCATGCCAGGAAGGTTGTTAGGATAGCGACTAGACTAAAAGCAGTTGCCAGCATTGTGTAAGAATCTTTCTTACAGTCTGCTGAGGGTGAAGTAGTACTGCTGGGTAACAGGGGTGTAACAACAGTGAGGTGTTTCCCTCAGATCACCAGCTATGCTGTCTCTCCACTCCGGATAGAGGAGGTTAGAAAAGGTGGGCCAAAAAATTGTACATCCCGACTTACCCTACGGTGATCCGTAACCGGCGGTAAGTTTACTAATACGGGACCAATCCCAGAAACCAGTTCATACAGGCCGTGTGTGACCGGCCGGCCTCAAGCAGTTGACCCATGGGCTCTGCGGTCGTGCAACACTCTTTGTGTTTCAGGTACCGGAAGAATCAGTCAACTTCCACGATGTGGGTAGCCGGGAAGCAACAACTACCCACACACCTCCAAAAGCACACGAAGCCATCCTGAGCATCATTCTACTTTACTCACATCACCTCCCTCATCTTGCTTCTCTACTACAGTTAGTACTACTCTGCAGACTAATGAGTCATCTTCGCTTCACTCTGTGACCACGAACAACGGTGAGAGCCTAAGAATCACCCCAGATAGCCTTTCAAAGTCACGTCGCCAACTTCATATAGGAGCATTTAACGTCAGGACCCTCTGCAAATCGAACAAAAGGCATCACTAGCAAGAACTCCGGCAACTCAAGCCATGGATATATGTTGTGTTTCGGAGACACGCATACAAGACCCGAGTGTGGTCATTCATTTAACCTTAACCGGTCAACAAGGTGAATCTGCGAAATTCACTTTAAGGGTGGCAGGAGACCCCTCAGCCAGTTCGCGAAGACTCGCAGGTACAGGGATAGCGCTGAGTGTTAGGGCGGAGAAATCACTTCTTGACTGAATTCCAGTAGATAGTCGTA